CCATCCCACACGCTAAATCTACCAAGAAGCGCTTTTCCTCATGGATTTCGTCCTAAACACATGGAGAAACTCCATGAGAACCTAGGAAAATCACGAAAACGGAGAAAGGGAATGAAAAATTGAAACCCTAACCATTAAAACTTACCTCCAAGCGTTTCTCACACGGATTTAACCTTCAATCAAGCTCCCGAACAGCTTTAGAGGCAATTTAATCGGTGGAAAATGGCTTTGGACATGAGAGGATCGAAGGGAGAGGGAGAAATAACTCTCCCCGAACTCTAACCCCCTTTAAATCCCTTTCTGGTTGCGACACTCTTACTTCAACGAAATATTCTCGCTGTAGCGAGGGAACACCCTCTCGCTACAGCGAAAAAATCAGAGAAGACTGCATTTTGTTTCTGCAGAATCTTGTTATAGCGAGACTGCATCCAGAAATGTACCCTAAATTGTCGCTACAGCGAGAAGGCGACAGTTCTGGTCCTTCCTCCCAGAACCCTCTCTCTACAGCGAGAATCCTCTCGCTGCAGTAAAAACAGCCCAGTATTACACCCCGCACTTAGGCACTTAACTCATTTTCAGCCTATCCAATCATACATACACATATATACACACATCCATGTACTTAATATACATAAAACATCATTTTCAAATAAATCAACACACATATGAATATATATATATATATATATATATATATAATATAAAAATAATAATAATTAATATTACTAAAATTTGAAGTGATACATAAATTACTATCATTTATTTTTAACGTGTTCTTTCTTTTCTTTTCATAGATTAGGATGACTTATATGGGTGCCTAGGCTTTGATTTTGTGTTGCCACTAGATACATAGTTCCTACTACATCGTAGTTTAGTGCAAGGTAAAAGACTTGGAAAGTAATGGATGGTCGTATATTCCATTTGGCTACCTTCGATACATAGTCAAAGCTTATATTTGCTTCAAGGTGTAAATCTTAATGAACAAAAGATCTTGGTATTGGTTCCCTTGTAAATATTCGGAATCTTGATTATCTTTCTCAAATTGGTGTTGTATAATGTCTAAAATTGTCATGTTAAAGAATAGGATATCCTTTACTCTTAATTTTAAAAATTCTCTTTTATTTTTGACAGAAAAGGTGTAGAACTGACAATCAATGGTAGAAAATTGAATAACTTAAAATTATAAAATATAAATACTTAAATAAAAATTCATAAGGTGTGCGAGAATTGTCTTTTTGAAAACTTTTATTCTGTTTATAAGGTGCCTTTTACAGCTTTTGAATGTAGACTAGTTCTCTTACTAACATTGGTTTAGCTTTAGATGATGCAGTATATTTTTAACACGATTCAAATCCATACAACACGGACTCCTATATAGATCTTATATTGATACGTCATTTTAAGAACACATTATGTTTGTATGTAGATTTCATTTCATCGTCATTTAATTAATACGGTTTAACCATAGGAGTTCAATCATCACAATCATTAATACGAAGTTGAACTTTTTCTTTAATAATATGCTTTATAACCCATCATCTAACATGGCGTATGATATCAAAAATTATCTTTTACCGTTATACCTGTTACTTTAGAGTTCACTGGTATCAAAGAGGGGAACATTTTTTTTATGTATGGATTTTTTATAAAAAAAAATTAAAAATATGAGATCTTTTACAAAATTATAAAAATATAATTTTTTAAAAAAATTGTCATGAACGACTTTTGCTTAAAAACTATTACTGATCACTTTTGATGCACTTTTTAAATATTTAATTATTTTTAAAAAATTACTATTAACAATTTTAAATTTTTTAATATTTTTTAAAAATCGCTATTGATAACTTTAAAAAAATTATTTTTTTATTTTTAAATATTTATACTGCATCAATAGTGATTTTTGAATCTTTCCCGTAATTTTACAAAAAATTTCATATTTTTTATATTTTAAAAAATAAAAATTTTATAAAAAAAAAAAAAGTAGCCATCAAAGAAGGGAATAAAACAAAATAAAATATGATAACATAAAAATAAAGCAAAACAAAACAAGAGAGTAGCCAGAAAAGGAATACAACCCTGGTCCTCCTTACGTACCAAGTCAAAATCCTTTTTCCTTTTCTACTCCATTCACTCGATAAACATTATCAATTCAAGTTCTTTCAAGTTTTCATCCATTTAGTAAAGACCTACTCTACGCTTGACTAGGTCTTATATGGTGGCTACTTAGGTTTCATGTGTCAGATTGAGCCATTATACAAACAGTTAAACAAAATCAATTCCCCTCCTTTTGTTTAGATTTTATGTCGGTCAAAAGAATATGTAACAGAATACAGCTAATGTTTTATGACAGTTATGTGTAATTAGAGGAAAAAATAGTTAAGATCTAGGTTTGCCAATTTCATGCGAATCTGAGTTTGTTTATAATAAATATGTTTCACAATTGTTTGTTCCTGTGACCTACTAATGAATAAAGTAGTCTATGTACCTAGCAAAAATTTAAGAAAAAATATTTATTTAGCTCCCTCAAATTACTCATTTTAATTATTTATTTATTTTTATTGTCATTTTGTACTTAAAAAAATTAAAATAAATATTGTTTATATTTACGGATTAAAATATTTTTTTTTATAAAATTAGAGATTAAAGCAATGGATATAATTTAAAAAACTAAAAGCTATTTATTCAATAATTTAGGATTCTCAAATTCAGAAAACGAAGTGCATGAGTGAAATGGGAAAATTGATCAATTTTTTTTTTCTTGTTTGCCAAGTAAACAGTACTATGGGTCAGTGAGTGGTATGCGGTGGCAATTCATCCTAGTTTCATCTGCTACCCCTAGACTTGGATGGCTAGGTTAGGGGTAATGCGCTAATATTTGAAGTGACAAATTGTTTTAGAAAAAAAAAAGAAAATATTGTATTTTTTTTTTATTTAATTATTTTTTAATTTTCACGTTTTAATTTATGTATATTTTTTCATTTAAAATTATAATATTTTTAATTATTTAAATTAATTTTTATATCAAAATATAATATTTGATTGATTTATACAAAGTAATAAATATATATAATATTTAAATAATAATAATAAATAAAATATAAATATAAAAAGCATATTATTGTTTAATTAAAAAAATTCGAGACAATGAGTACAGAGGTACTAGAATTTAGAAAAAGTTTTAACCCTAAAAAAAACATCAAATTATGATCTCTTTTTACACAATGACTTCAAACATCAGATATGATTGAGAGGCCATTAACTAAATTAATAAGAAGCCGATGCCTCACTCTCACTTTCCTTTCCTCATCTTTTTCTCGCATTGTTTCTCCTTTTTCCACCTATTCTCCTGTCTCTCATGTAATCACAAGTTAGATTGGATTAAATTTGATGAAAAAATTTATGTAACTCAACAACAATAAAATGAATTAAGTTGAGTCCTTTTTTTTCACATGTAATCCAAACAAACTCAATACGATTATGGATAAGTTAATTTGGATTGAGTAATTATACCTATATTTCAAAAATAAAAAATTGACAAATATTACCTGTAAAATTTACTATTTATTAAACCAAATAAAAAATTACAAAAATTTTAAAAAATAAATTTATAGTTAAATAATAAATCATTCGTCAAGAATAACAGCTAAAAATATTATAACATTTATAACCTAAGTTAAAATATTATAATATTTCTAATTTTTTATAAATAGAAAGGTCAAACTTATCGAGTTGAAAAATGATAAACCTAATACATAATCTCAAAGTGATCGAATTTATTGTTTGAAAGATTAATTGTAATCAATTATTCAAATTAACCGACTAATTTAAGTTAAATTTAGACTGGGTTGATCCGGCTATGCGTAAGCCACGCTACCCTTATTCGCTCCCTCCATCCAAATGTAGACAGCTCTTTTTTGTAGTATTTTTCAAGAAGCTATAGTTGACAACAAAAAAACGAGAAGAACCTATCAAGACTACAATAATAATATCCCATACAAATGTATTTCTATTTTCATCTTCTTATTATTATTATATAAAAATATTTTAAAAATTAATAATCAATAGATAGAGTTAATTTAACATGTCAATTTTTTGTTAATTTTTCAAGCATGAAATAATTCGCAGATAATTAAGTATTTCAAGCATGTTCATTAAGATTTGATGCCTAAACAGCTGTGTATAAAAAATATATTTTTTTTAAATAACGATCTCGATATTCTTTAAACTTTTAAAAACAAGCCTTTCACTATTAGTGAAATATATCGTTAATGTACGAAAAAACAGCGAAACTGATCCTAAGTTATAATTTAAGGAAGAAAATAATGTAGACTAATATTTCATTTAAATAAGAAATATTATAAATAGTAATGATAATAGATTTTATTTAATTAATGAAAATTTTAAAAATTAACTTTTAAAAACAATAGTTATGTTTTTAACTTTTTTTCTATCTGGTCATTTTTCTTTTCTCTCCACCATGATCACAGCACCTCTTACATATAGCCCGCAAGGTACTTAACACATGCACACGAAAACACAGTGAACATATGATAAAAAGTTATTCATAATAATGCAAAACAATACAACCGAAACTAAAGCTTTTTATTTCTAACTCTCCTCATGGGATCGAGAACTGAAGAGAAAATACATAAATTTCATAAATCCATTTTTTCTCTTGAAGGGTTATAACTCCACATAGTTAGAGAAATATATAGATTCCTCAACTTTCATGGAATAATTCACCCTTATCGACCCATGACATAATTTTTCCTACCACATACGATCACTTTCCACCAGAGTCACACTACTAGCCACATCAAAAGTTACATAACCATCTAAACCACATTTTTTAAAGTAAAAAAGCTTATATATTATTAAATAGAAAAAGAAAACGACTGTGCTATTAAATAGCACGTGAAGATTTAGTACTGGAACTCCTCATACATAGGCACCCACGTGAATATTTTTGATAATTTCATTGAATTCATAGGTTGTACTAGCTAGCGTCTTCTTGGAGCCGTTTCCCTCTGAGCATTGAAGTAGACAGCAGCAACAGGGAGGCCAAGTTCATTCTCAGCTGAAAATTTGCAAGTATTGAAGTGATCCCTTGAAGAAGGTGGAGTAACACTTTGCCTACGTTTCTGCTTGAACAGGACAAACACAAACCTGTGTATCCCTATGTTAGGCTTTGGTGTTTCATAGCTTGCTACCACATTGCCTATCCAAAAAAAGAATATTAATTAAAGATGAGTTGCCTCAGTTTCTATTGGTGACTATGCATTTTTTTAGGTGATCAATAAGTAAATGGAATTTACCAAATAAGGCGTTTGTGGTGCCCGGAATGTCTGTCACCATCCTGCAAAAGGGTATCACTTGAACCAATTAATAGCCTACGATGAGACCAGAGAATGGCGTTTGGTAGAGAGCAGTTGCTTTCCACAGTACATGTACCGTAAAACTAAAAATATATAGATCTTCCTTTTGTTAGATTTCTTCTTCGGATAACTATTGTGTATGGAATTGCTTTTGATATAATCATTTTTTATCTATAAGATATATAAATTAATTTTGAATGTTAACAGTTATATTTAAAAGTAACTTCACCTTCTTCACATTTAAATAAAAAAATTTACTTTATTTTTTAAATATTATTCTTAAATATAAATTAAATTTCAGAACAGTGATTATTTTAAAATTAATTCTTCCAGAGTCTAAACCAAATCCTGAATTGGACTGTTTGAGACTTCCAAATGATTAGTTAACTAAGTCCAGTTTGAATAACTTACACAGCAAGTACTTGTGAAAAAAAGATAAAATAAATTAAAGCTTAACTTATATATATATATTAACTTCGGGAAAAATTTTAAAAACTTCTAAAAAAGTTATAAATTAATTTTAATATATAAAATAAATTGATTTATTTGTTTTTTTTTTTTTAGATTAGTTTGTTTCAAATGAGTAAATTATGTTAAAGGTTTACTGATCTAGAGTCTTTTTTTTTTCCCTCTCAGGAGTCAGAATTGGTTAGGTTTCCAGGTAATGACAATATTACTGGAGTAATTAACCTCATTAATTTTATTAAGCCAACCAAACAAAATAACAGGTTAATATCAAGCCACATCTAGGAAGTACCAGTGTAAGTGCTCTCTCAGATAAGGATCACTTGGGCCAGGAACATCCGGGTCTGTCATAATCTGCAAAGAGAAAAGGAGACATTCATCTCAAATGATTGAAGTTTTGTAAGAGGTACTTTGCCATGTTTCAGGGAAAGTTAATTATCAAAAGAAAAAAGGAAAAGAAAATATAAACAGCTCAAGGGTTTTTTTCATTTGACAAATAAGAAAAAAAAGAGAGATTAAGGGGTTATAAAAATATATATTGATATGTCTACCAGTGTAAAGAAGGACCTCATGTCACCACCAATCTCAACCTTTGGCCTTGTGGTAACTGTGGAAGGGAAGAGTTCGTGCCCATTGTAGACTTGCTTCTTCTTGTAAGTGACCGTCATTTTAATGGTTGGGGTGAAAGAATCAAGAACATCTCCTATCACTCTCCCAACAATTAGAGGATCTGTTGACATCCTTGCCATTATAAGAGCAACAAAAAGAAAAAGAGGAAAAGGACGAATGGATACTCAAGTATACAACTTAATGATTACTCGTGCTGGGAAATTGGAGAATGAAACTACATATTTATAGTCTCTTAAAGGCAACTATTAAGATAATATTTTTTTGCTTTTTTTTTATTTAAGCATGATAATGATTTTATCTTTTGAATTTTTATATTAATTTAATTTTATAAATTATTTAAAAATAATACTCTTTTAACTTTATTTTCTATTTTGACTTAACCAAAGTTTTTTAATCAATTATGTTTTGGATAGGAGTCTTTTTTTTGCATTATATATATAATTAAATTATTGTTCAACATTTTCGAATCACTAATAAAGCCACTTTCAGTAGACAAATCATTTTTAATCAAATACTCATTTTTATTTCCTGTTTCATTATAAATAATTAAGAATTACAGTGAACCAATCATTATTAATCAAATCTCATATAAATTATAGCTTTTATTGTTAATTATTTTTATTATAAACATATTTATACTAAAACCAAAACATTCTCTAAATTTAATTAAAAATTTGAAAGATAAAATAAAGTTCAAAAAATATGAGCACAAAAATGTTAAAGAAATAAAATAAAATTTAAATAAACATAAGAGACTAAATAGGATAAAAATAAAATTAGAGAATTAAATGGAAACTTCACTTAAATTTAGAAGACAAAAATTATCCATTACCCAGTTCGTATTCTAAGACAAAGATATCTGGCGTAGTTCATGAGCGCAACTTGGAAGATTTTATCATCCATGTTTTCTTTTAAGTTTCTTGTAGTCCTCTTTGCTCAAATAAATAACAGCATTTTAAAATGTTCAATTGTGCTCAAACTTATATATATAAATGAACTTCCATTAGTAAGATTTATGCTTTCTGCATTTAATCAAAGTTGCAAGGGAAATAGATCTATGGTTGAGATCGAGATAAGTTCAACGAGAAACTTCTACGAATTAACAGAAGTACGGACCTTCAAACCAGGTACCATTGAAATTTCGTTATCTGAACACAAACTAACAAGGATTCTGAACATTATACGGATTTTATAAACTTAGGTGATATATATATATATACACAGCACGAATGCATTTTTTAATTATTTAACTAACAAATAAATTTTGTAGTTAATTTAATATAAAAACTTATAAGATGTGCATGTGTTACATAACAAAATATATATACATACGGTTTCATATAAAAAGAACATATAAAAGTTATTTTATTTTTAAAAGCGAATTATTATTGTTGTAAAATTAATGTAATGGAATAGATAAATATACATAAGATTAAGCGTTTCGATGATATTAATGCAGGAATCATTTCGCTTTTTTTTTCCCACACTACCCATGTAAGCATATGGATAAATGAAAAAAGGTGGCACGCTCGTTACACTAAAATCTGGAATCTTTAGTACGTGTACATATCAATATAAAAATATAAATTATATTCTCAGTATTTTTAAATCTAAATTTAGTTTATATTATTTTTATTTCATTATTATTTATTTAAATTTTTCATTGTTAAATAGTTATTATAATTAAAAAGCATTTAAAGTTATCAATTTAAATTTAATTTATATAATTTTTTATCTTATTATTATTGTTTTAAGATTTTTATTGTTAACTCATCTTTATAATTTAAAATTAGTGTATTTGATATTTTGTAACTTTTATTACATATTAATAACTATGAGTGACAGTGTTGTATAATACAATTCTTTGTCACTTGCCCTTCTCGCTCTCGCAGACTCGCACACACAACGTAGGGGTCCATTTGAATCGGTTCGTGATTGGGAAGTTTTGGGTGTCAGAAAAAGCAATGTGAGTAATAATGCATTCATGTATAACGTATCTTTAGCAAGTTGTCATGTCACCTCTGTTTTATTCAAGAACAAATCTTTATATATTTTAAAATTATAGTATTCCCTTATTATTATTAACTTGAGAATTTTATTTAATTGATAATGCATTACATATATATATAATGCAAAAAAGGGGTAAAATCAGCTATGCTTAGCTTTTTGAAGACATTCATATTTTTCACGTTCTTTATTTAACACGAGTAACTTTGTTGAAATTGAATATTATTTATATTAACTTTTTATAATCTAAATATTATAAACAAATGCTTTTAGTTTCAATACCCGTTTTAGCCTGGTTCTTTATTTCGTTCCTTTACTAAGTTTCTGAAAATATCGAAAGTCGCTTATTATTTTTAGAATAATAAATATCGTAGTAATTATTTTTAAAGCGTAGAAACGTAATAATCAATTTGATCAATCAGTAAATTTCATATTTTTTAATTAGATGGTGTAAAACTAATTTACATATTAAAAACATTTTTCCTGCTAATGTTAATCCTTGTGGATGATTTTAAATATTTTATCAAAAATGTATTACATTTTACATTTTGAATATAATTATTTTTTAATAAAAAATTTTAAGTTTCTAAAATTAATGTTAATATATTTAAAAAATAAATATAAAATTTAATAAACAAATTTTATTTAAAAATAGTAATTATTTGTTGAGCAACTTGAAATGACCAATGTAATAAATTGACTTGTTTAAAATAATTTGATGTTAAAAAAATGAAAAGAGATTTAAAGTAATTTGTTTACTGGGAGAGAGAGACAAATAAAATTGTTTAATCCAATGGAATTTCGACAACACAATGACCGCATGCAAGGCAACAGTGGTGCAACATGGGCATAGGAACCTTATAGCCCCAAAATGCATTTTGCTGTTTTCTGGGTGGCTGAGGCTGAATATTCTTCTGTTTCTTGTCCCTATTCTTATTTTTTTCTATTTTTTTACTTCGGTTGATATTCATATTTGTAGTAAGCAGTTTGTGATAATAATAATAATAGTAATAATAATAATGGACGAAATCTGAAAAAAAAAAATTAAAATGTTTACCACGAGTCACGAGCAAGTACACGTATACTATAATAAAACTACTTACTATTATCTTAAAAGATATTGATTAAAAATAAAAAATTATTTATCATTTTTTAATTAATACTCAAAATTTTAGTTAGTAAAACCTATACTATAGTTATATATAATTAAGTCTACAAACAAAGTATCTGGCTAACTAGCACTTTAACGTATTAACAAATAACAATTTTATTAAAAATACATCGAGTATATATTATAATTTTTAAAAAAGTATAGTATTACAATTTTTAGAAAAAAATATTGTTAATTTCTAAATAAGTATCTATTCTTAATTTTTGTAATCAAAATTTAAGATATAAGAGTTACATAAACATAAAATAAAATAAACTATTATCTTGTTTTACATTTAATATATAGCAAAATAACAAATAAATCATTGAAAAATAACAAATAAATGCATTGTAATATTTTATGTTGTCTGTTGTTAACTTAAACTCTTCACATAAGAAATTTTGCGATAAACCTATAAAATAAACTTACTATACTTTATCAGGTAAATAAATTCTAAAAATATAATAAAATAAAAAAATTATTTTATCTTGGGCTTCAAAAAAATATCTTTTTTTTTTCTATTTACTAAACGAGTTATAAAATATTACCTAACATTTTACCACAAATAAAAGCATAATAGAAGGTAAATAAAATGTAGCACAAAATTGTTGATGTTAAGAAAAAATAAAATAAACATGCTTGGATCACTATTTATTTAAACACTTAGTCTATATTTGAATAATTATTTATTTAAACACTCATTTAATAATTTATTTTAAATAATGACATAGTAATAATAACGCATATTGTTATTACTTTTTTAAATCAGAAATAAAAAATGAAACAAAATTGATGAATGATGTTTTTATAATGATTATTAAAAATATATGAATTAAAAAATAAAGGATCAAAATATTTTTTATTCTCCCTCGTCTTATTCTCCTAATATGCTCCGATCATGTTAATATTTTCTAAGTTTCTTTTAATCAGTAAATTTGTTTTTTTATTAAAACAAGTTGAGGGAATAATTTTATTTTTTTCAAGGAACTATGCAATTATGTAATTTGTTACAGGTTTAAGAAGTATCATATATATTTTATGTAAATATTCATTAAGTTAAAACTTAATTAATAAGTATGTTAAATATGTATAGTCAAGTAACCTACATCCATTGATAAGTGAAAATTATGATTAGTGTTATTATTCTCTCTATTTCTATCCTCTTTTAACACTCAAAAAATGTTTTTTTTTTCAAAAAAAATTCGATTGTAAAACAGAAAGAATGAGAAGAGATGACCGCGTACGCACGCTAGGGCGTAGGTACATTTTTTGTAAATAATCGAAATCACATTCTTAAAAGTATATTTTATTTTAGTATAAATGTAATTAATTCTTATATATTGTATTATACTAAAAATTAATGCATATCACTGAATATGTGAATTTATTAGTATAAAATTATTTTAACTTGACATTTGATTTTAAATTTAAATTTTAATAAATGTAATTATTAATTGCTTACAATGAGAATTTTTTATTTATAATTTTACTCTATTTAAATAAAATTATTTTTATTAAAGAATATAAATTAATAAAAAAGATTATAAAAATATTCAAGCTTTATTGGTGGGTCTTGATTAACCTTAATTAATATTCAACAACGTTAAGCTGCAATGTTTTTTTTTTTTTTCAAGCATCAATATTTTATTAAGGACAAATTCAGAATATAAAAGTAGTCTAATTTGTTAAAATTTTAAAGGAAATTAACAATACAGGTTAAGAGTTTAGAAGTGTCAATTGTGTTTGGTCAAATTCATGTACACCAGAACTGTATTAAGTAGCAAACGCTAAACAAATGCTACTATCTTCCTCAATGCATTAACATTTCAAATTTTGAGTAAGGCTTGCACTAAACATATCTCCAAACTGCTACTTGCAGTGAAGGAATGATGAATGTAGTGATAAGCGGATTGTATACTATATTTTTTATTACCATCATACTTACACCTTAGCATATCATTT